CATATCAATTGTCAAGGATAACGTACTCAAGTTCATTGACAAATGATTCTGGTAACATTTGGTGGAACACCGAGTGTAATTGTAGCAGAATTGGAAGAGTTGATCATACACCGCATTCACCACTTAATAGAATAGCAGTATTTAGAGCCGATCACTTGAAACCATTACTATGCTGTTATGTCTAGTTCCCTTTTGTTCCTACGATGTGCTGTCTTTGGATAAGAATACATGTATTGACCACATCGATCGTGTATACCCTCCCGAGTTTCAAATCAATGACACTACGGTCTGTTTTTCGTCACCTCCTTTCCTCGTTCTCTACTTGCAACATAACCGACAGGGACGGTATACTACTAAGCTGTACGATAAGCAGGACTATTTCGACCTTCCCATTGTGAAATTTCCCTTTCTTGAAAGTAACATCCCTACATCCTGTTTACATGTCGCAGTTGATTGGGTATTCCAGAGATAGCTCTAAATATTAAAACTGTCATGATAAATGTCAACAGCTGACGGACAAACTAATATAACAGTGTTTCCAAAGATGCTGGTCGATGAGGACGATGGACAAGTGTTACGGTCGCCATTATGATCTCAGAGGGAAATATGCTATCACCTTGTATAAAGGTCGAGGTTTTTTATTATGTCTATAAGTGAGCCGTTTGGAGCTGTTGTTCTCGATCTGAGGAAGTTTCATGATTTGGATTTTACAAAGATTTACATGGCGGTGTCGGCAATGAAGCAGAAGACGCTTACCCTTCTGAAACTCCTGGTCTTATTCTCTTTGTTCCTTTTCAGTTGTCTCCGTGTAAATCTTTATATTGTTAAAATTTTGTGTAACTTTTATCGATTTTGAGTTCGAATTAAGTTTTTGTTGATAATAAGGTATTCATTATCTTATAAAGGTTTGGTCTGACCCAATGCGCGTACATTGAAAGTCAACACACGAGAGTGTAAAATGTTTTGACATAGTATATTTTTGCTATACCTCCGGTTTTATTTAGAGACTTATGCATACTTTGCCCATAAATATCGGTTCCTGTAAATGGAGTCGGACATCCATGGCTAGCGTCACTGTATATCTACAGGTATAGAAAGGGTCATATACTGCTTTATGTCCAGTCAGTTACTTACATCAGAATAGTCTGTGTTTGATCACGGTAATGCAAGTAAAACAGAAAAGGGAAAAAAGACAACTCATTTGATTACGAGCATCTGGTAAAGTGTATTTCCTACATAAGAATATTAACTTTCTTTCTTTCGGTGGTTGGTTTCATTTTTGTGTTGCAAATGTGTGATGTTTGTAGGATATGTCAAATCATGTGCTGTACGGTACCAATTTACTTTCGAGAAGGACATTTAGAAAAGACAACTCACTTCGGTTCCTACTCATTTGTGTCTCCTGTCAATCCCTATGGCGGCTGTGATGTAGTAGCGACCGAAACTTAGCGGGCGTTCAACGATCCTTATGGTTCTAGAAATAGACACATAACCACCCACGACCCTTATCATTGTACCCGTAACCTATATTTATTATCGAGTGTAGGTGTTTCGTACGATTGGAGGCAATCACCTTCCTTTAGATGTGGAAAATTGGTTCTAACGATTACTTTTATTACTGCTGGGAATAGAACTCGCAAACTGAAGTCCAAACTCGACTGTACACAACGTTATAGAACAATAACGGAACAAGGACAGATTGTATTGTCCGGTGGTCACCTCACACACCGACTCGTGCTACTGGTTACCCGTCAGTGATGGCTACTTTGACGGGTGGTTACAAAGCGCGTTAATTTCGGGATAAAAAGGTCAATGGTTATAGGTAATATCAAGTCTGATATATGGTTAAATGTAAATGAGGCTCTGGGTTAATATATCTCTATACAAAATGCGTTCTACATTGACGTCTCAGTATAACGGCAGTTTCGGTGACATTCTAATTACAATTTTGTTTAGTTGTCGTGACATCTGTTTTTTATAGAATATTTCTGGCACTACACAATACAGCCTTCTTTTTTTAAATTTTGATCTGGCTTTTAAGTTTACGTTACGCTTAACGAGTTTGTTTCGGACAATGACATTCGTATGGCCATATATATACCATATAAGCTATAGTATTAGAACGCAATGAAAGCGTTGAAAAAATCTGTCATTTGTATTGCTAAACTATTCGTTGGAATGATTTAGAAGATGATATAAGAAGAAAAAAACAGTTTTACGTATTATTTATTTCTTGAAATTTTTTATTAACTTTTGTTAAGCAATTTGACAAAACTGTATCAAAATAAAAAAGAATCGTCCAGCTATGGGTATTCAGTGGTGTGTGAAATCGGTGGCTATTGATAGTTGACATTCGTCTTTAAACCCTTGCATCAATACTACATATTCCCTTTATCATACTCTCTACCAAAAAGGATACATTTATTATATTACTGTAGTAATCTTTTTTCTTCATTCTTTGATGAAGATGCAGGGAGTGATGCCAACATTATCAAATATATACAAATCTGTTTTATACAACGCACGTTTTATCTTACTACGATGAAAAAGAAAGTGTTTTTAGTTATACACACAACATCACATTAACCATATAAATATCAATACAGTGTGAAAATAATATACTCGGTTGATTAATAATTGGTTTCTGCAAAAATGGTGTTTTTTCCGTGTCAAAAACTATTTTTTTGTCTATGAATGGACAGTGATGAACTCTACGAGACCTGAACTTTGACACAGCTTGAACTCTGATCCAATATGGCCTCATCGCAGACCTATTCCATTGATCAAGTTACTAACCAACCTCCGGTCCCATTTTTTACGTTGTACAAAGCAAATCGGTTAATCAATAAGCAGGGTATACAAATTAGCCTTCCCATAGATAGACCGCAGGCGATACAGGGCAGAATGTCCCGACCACGAGCCATTATTGAACCTGCATATCCCGGTCGACATCAGAATGATTTCTGTTAATTTCCGTATACAAAGGGCGTGAATCTATAAGCGTTTTATTCCCATCGGAAGTCGAGATACCAGCTCCTTTGATATTCAGGCGCGTGATATATACAACACTGAACCATACAAAGCCTGTTGACTAATGAGTGTGTAGTTATCTTAACGTCTCGCTTCCATTGGAGGTTAATCTGCTAGCTGTATTGAAAATTAAGTGAACTTTGCGCTGTTTTCAAAATACAATGATGTGAAAGTAAAGTTGCAAATGGATTATTCATTGAGAGGCTAATGCTTACTCGTACCTAAACACGAAAGTGCAATACGAACGTTCCCTTACTCATGACAGCGTCAATGTCAGTCTATTAGGCCAGCACTACATAAAAACAAAGACAGAGTCACCATATACAAATGGAGAACTCATTTAATACAGGAAAATAGTTGGACATATTAATTTCTGAACCTTATTAAGGTTTTATTTTAAGAACCACAAGAGACTATCAATGGTGATCGATTCAAAGAAATCAATAGGCCCCCAGGGTTTAGGCTACGACTTATTGGCTCTTCGTATTGAATCGAGGATAAAAGTGCATGCAGGTAGGATTACCTATTGGTATTATGGAATACATAGGCATTAATAGGTCACAGCGCAGATCTTTGAGCCATTTCAAAATTTAAAACATAACCTTGGATTGTCTCTTTTGGTACTACAATAAAAATATAGTTGGGGTTAAATCTGACTGTGGACAAACTAACATTGTTCTTAAATACGTCTGTTCTATGTACATGTACTTAGTGAATCACTTTTTTAGTATCAACTGACTCCTGGCACCTGGATCAAGCTACTCATTGTAACTTTTTTAACATAAGATAGGTCAAAGGATACTGGTCACTAACTGTTACTTCTCAATAAAACTAAATAGATCAAAATCAAACAAGTAACTAATGGTTTCTTCTAAATCAAACTAAATACAAATGTAGGTCAAAATCAAGCTAAATAGGTGAAAATGATACAGGTAAATTATGGTTACCTCCAAATCAAACTAAGCAGTTCGAAATGATACAGGTAAATAATGATTACCTCAAAATTAGAATGAATAGGTCAAAAAACATAAGTATTGGGTGAATTACACAAGTTATCACTGTTTCTGTCAAGCGAAACAATTATGGTTAAAAGAAGGCTAAGTGCACAAGATCCCCATGTACTCAAAGGATTCTTTCCAATGCTAAACATTTTCTTAAGAGCAAAATATAATATAAACGTATTCCGTATATATCCTAACTGGTGGTATAGAAATGAGATAATCGAATTCAGTAAATCACCAACACAGGGTTGGCTATGATTCTGAATTAATATACTGCCATAGTATTTTCTAAAATGAATTAGATGATCGTTTTTATACGTCACGATATCGTTAAGACGTTCAGGACAGAAAGGGTAAATATTTGAATAAAGACAGGCAATGAATAGCGGTCGTCACTGCACATGCATAGGCCTCAGTGGACTGCCCGCTTCTTATCAAATATGGCAGTAATGTTGACGTACGGCGGAGGCGGCAGACGATGTTCAATAGGACGCGAGAGACATGGGGCATGGTAACAATATAGTCTTATATAAATACATTACATACGAAGGGTGTGTTGGAATGATTTCAGTAATGTCTTGGTTGTGTATCCTGGTATCGTGATCTGTCCCTGCACAGTGTATTAGCTTTGCTGTCTGTTAAGAACCACCTGCTGGCTATGTAAGTTATTTAAGATACCGTATTACGTCATGTTCACCTCTATGTTGTGTTCTTAGGATCCATATACGTTCCAATAATTTGATTTTTTTTTGTTTAATCGACAAAAAGTACACTTGAAATATTTTTGATGATCTCGGACCTTTTTTTCTCCTCGTCGTCCTGCATTATCTACATTTTGAATGTTTTGCTATTTTCCCCTACCTATGTCAGCCTGATTTGACCTCGTGGTTTGTATCCTACTATCAGTTGAACTCCTGTCTCTTCCTGTAGATTGCACTGTTCGTATGATGTGTTTTTTTCACCCAACAGGTTCCGTACTCAAACTCAAGATGATAAAAGTGACCCATAGTTTTGGCTCAAAGTCACAGCGACCAAAATTTCTTACTCCTTCAAACGACTTCTTCTGACGAACCCTAACTACCGCTAGTTATGAGACTGGGTATGTACCTTCCTTGAACAGAGGGCTTATTTATTTCTCTAACTTCATATCTTTTTTTTTTTTTTTTTTTTTTTTTTT